GTGCCTCAACTTTGGGTTGGGAAGGGGCCATTACTAGCTAAAAGTTTGGTTCATCTACCTTGTTACCAGCTTTGCTCAACGGGACAAAGGAATCAGTGCGGATCCGTGGCACAAAGGCTGAGACACAGAGATGAGATGGTCGCTGCTCATCACTGTCCTTGTCACTTTGTGCTCGGAAAGGGGCTCTGGAGAGGCAGGTTGGTGGGGTTGGGCTGGATGCCCTGGCTCAAGGCTGGGGGGCAGGTGCTGGGGCAGGAGGAGGAGGTGGCAGTGACAGAAACACGCAGGACAGCTTTGGGAAGCTGACAGTGACTCTGGTGCACAAAGTGATCTCCTGATTCGGCACTTTCTCTGCCGCTGAAATGAGAGGTCAGTGCTTTTTATTTCCAGCTTGCATGCTAGCCCCCGGCTCCTGGGGTTAAAAATCTCCGTAATGACCTGTCAGAGAGCAGATTATTAGCTGTACAGAGCCGAGGATGTTGTGGGGAGCAGATGGAAAATGGTCTGGCTGCAGCAGCCTGTCTGATGAAAGAATCCCTGGCATTTTTACAGTGTTTGCATCTCTGGAAACACACCATGAAGCTGCTTTCCAGGCTCCTGCCTGCTGGGGTTTGAAGAAATTTTTGTGTGTGTGTGGTTGTGGGTTTTTTTTTCCCTCCTCATTTCTCTTTAAGTCACCTGTTTTTGAAGTGGTGCTTGTGAATAGTACCTGGAGCTGGCAGGCCTGGAGCTTGGTGGGGAAGGGGAGGACAGTGCTGCTGGAGAGTAACTTTGTCCAAATGGGTGGTCAAGGATTTCTTAAGAGATCTGGAGAGCGGGTGGCTGAGACCATGTCGCTGGCTGGGTGGCTGCTGGGAAGAAGCTGTTTCATGTGTTAATTATGTCTCGTCAGTGTAATTGCCACAAGCTAATCTTGGCAAGCAACTCCAGCACTTCTTTGGGTTGCGTGTGGGTGTCTTTTTTGTTTTCCTGCCCCTGACACTGCCTCTGGGGACAGGGCAGTGTACAAAGCATCTGAGACCAGGGAGGGTGAGGGGCTGGGAAGCCAGGAGGAGAAAGTTTGGGTTAGCTGGGGTTGGCCATGGCGCAGACAGGTGTGATTAGTCCCTCTCTTCCCAGTTAAGAACAACTACCCACACAACTGTGCCTTGATTGCATTCCTGAAAGTTAATCAGGGTGAAAATTGCAGTCGGTCATGTCTGAAAGCCACCAGAGGCTGATCCTGAAGTGCTGCAGGCTGGAGCACATGGGTATGAGACAGCCTCCCTACGTGTGGGCTGGTTGTTGCCAGGAGAAGAGCTTTCTCCTGCATCTCACCGCCCTTGGGCCTTCAGTCCTGCCCTGCTTTGGTTTCTTGGCCTCTGGTAACCGGCAGAGAAAGCAGGAGCGGCGCGGGCTGGGCTGCCCAGCATCCTGTGCCTGTTTCAGCACAAAGAGCCAGAGGCTCATGCGGTTTCCTTGCTCCCTTTTTCACAGGCGAGCTATTTTGTTTGAATAGCTTTCTCTAGGTGTGTTTGCAGCTCTGAAAGTGAACTTTCAGGTTTGTCTCTTCATATGGTTGGCTCTGGCCCAGCTCTTAGATGCAGATTGTAGAGGTCTCGGCACCTAATGGAGCTGAATTATTCATGTCTGGTACTGTATGTGTGCAGCATTCCCAAGCAGAAAGCTGTCTCCTTGTAGGATCTGCACTCCAGGACTGCTCTTAAAATGCTTTGTTGGCAAGTCTCCAGGCCAACAAGTGAGCACATGCTTTTCATGTTGCGCGGGGATCAATCCCACGATGGCAGGAGGTAAGAGGAAGGACACGTTTATAGCTGGATCAATCTCCTCAGTCTGTTTTCTGAGATGCCGTGATTTGTGGCAGCGTTACTCCTCCCTGGCAGGAGAGTGGAGAGGATCTGGATAGCAGCTGGTACCTCTCCAGCCTGGGCAAGCCAAGCAGAGGGAAAGGGACCTCCTTCCTTGGACTGTGGGCTGTGGTAGCCAAGAGCTCGTTTCTGCCTGAAAGCAATGACGTGGCAGGTCGGGCATCCCTGGGGGTCTTGCTTGGGCGAGAATCATAGAACTGTTCCAGTTGGAAAAGACCCTTGGGATCACTGAATCCAAACATCATCCCTAGTCTACAATGTTCTCCCCATCATCCCTACTCTACAGAGTTCTCTACAAAACAAAGAGGGACCTAAATGCTGTTCTGGCTGCAGAAGTTGAGCCTGCAAGAGTGGCTCTTTGGAGAAGAGCAGTGGGGAACCAGAGTGTGAGTTTCAGGGAGTGGGTGTTTATGCTGTGGGAAATGCTTTAGAGCTATGTGTGATGGATGATATTCTGAGGATCCCCCCTGGATCTTGTACTGGGATCCTGGCCTTCAGCCTCAATCCCTACCTTGTCTCTCTCCCTGCAGTGGCACGTCTCAAGTCCCTGCCCTGTTCTGAGCATAATGTGCCTTTCCTCTGCTCTTGGACGTGCCTTTTATCTGCTCTTGCAAATCCAGGGTGTTCTCATCCGTCCTGTTTGCAGTTCATTTCCCTCTGCATTATTAGAGCTCGGGCTCCCTTGATGCTTCCTCCATAGGGTGAATGTTTTTTCTGCTCTTGTTTTCTAACCCTTTGATTGTTGCTGCCTCTCTAATTGCTGGGGACCCAGCGGACTTCTGGACTCCTTCCTTTTGTTGTGGTAGGAATTGGCAAATGCTGCTGTTTGCATAGTTCAGACCAAAGTCCTACTAATCTGCTCTTCTTATTTCACATATAGAGATATTTATGTGTGTGTGCATGTTTATGTGCACACTTAAAACAGCAAGGTGAGGTCCCTAGTGTGTGCTGAGAGCCGGCCAAGCCGGCCTTGCCTGGAGCAGGTGGTGGTGTGCTTGTTGTGATACAACCCTGCGGATCATCTGTTGCCTTCCTGCAACTGCAAGGCCAGATCCTAGTGCCTCTGAGCTGGCCATGGCCTTTGTGTGTCCCAACCTTTCTGGGCAGCTCTTGGAGTTGGAGCCTGAGCCTTGTCCTCTCCTGGAGGTGTGTGTTAGTAGTTTGTGTGTTGGTTCTGTGCAGCCATGCCATGTCCCTGAGCCCTGTCTGGTGAGGCTGTGACTGGACTCTGTGCCTCAACTTTGGGTTGGGAAGGGGCCATTACTAGCTAAAAGTTTGGTTCATCTACCTTGTTACCAGCTTTGCTCAACGGGACAAAGGAATCAGTGCGGATCCGTGGCACAAAGGCTGAGACACAGAGATGAGATGGTCGCTGCTCATCACTGTCCTTGTCACTTTGTGCTCGGAAAGGGGCTCTGGAGAGGCAGGTTGGTGGGGTTGGGCTGGATGCCCTGGCTCAAGGCTGGGGGGCAGGTGCTGGGGCAGGAGGAGGAGGTGGCAGTGACAGAAACACGCAGGACAGCTTTGGGAAGCTGACAGTGACTCTGGTGCACAAAGTGATCTCCTGATTCGGCACTTTCTCTGCCGCTGAAATGAGAGGTCAGTGCTTTTTATTTCCAGCTTGCATGCTAGCCCCCGGCTCCTGGGGTTAAAAATCTCCGTAATGACCTGTCAGAGAGCAGATTATTAGCTGTACAGAGCCGAGGATGTTGTGGGGAGCAGATGGAAAATGGTCTGGCTGCAGCAGCCTGTCTGATGAAAGAATCCCTGGCATTTTTACAGTGTTTGCATCTCTGGAAACACACCATGAAGCTGCTTTCCAGGCTCCTGCCTGCTGGGGTTTGAAGAAATTTTTGTGTGTGTGTGGTTGTGGGTTTTTTTTTCCCTCCTCATTTCTCTTTAAGTCACCTGTTTTTGAAGTGGTGCTTGTGAATAGTACCTGGAGCTGGCAGGCCTGGAGCTTGGTGGGGAAGGGGAGGACAGTGCTGCTGGAGAGTAACTTTGTCCAAATGGGTGGTCAAGGATTTCTTAAGAGATCTGGAGAGCGGGTGGCTGAGACCATGTCGCTGGCTGGGTGGCTGCTGGGAAGAAGCTGTTTCATGTGTTAATTATGTCTCGTCAGTGTAATTGCCACAAGCTAATCTTGGCAAGCAACTCCAGCACTTCTTTGGGTTGCGTGTGGGTGTCTTTTTTGTTTTCCTGCCCCTGACACTGCCTCTGGGGACAGGGCAGTGTACAAAGCATCTGAGACCAGGGAGGGTGAGGGGCTGGGAAGCCAGGAGGAGAAAGTTTGGGTTAGCTGGGGTTGGCCATGGCGCAGACAGGTGTGATTAGTCCCTCTCTTCCCAGTTAAGAACAACTACCCACACAACTGTGCCTTGATTTCCCAACTTTTGGAGTCTGCTACGTGGCTTGTCGTGCTGGAGGTGATGGTGGTTTGATGTCCAAAAGCTGGCTGCCATGTTGGGCTGCCTGGAGGTGCGGGATGGCAACCTGGCACTTCCTGCTGCTGTTTGGCCTTCAGCAATTGCTCCGACACATCCCAAGTGTCACAGGTGCTCTGAAGGTTGGGATTTATTTCCCAAGGCACTTGACTTCCCTGGTGAGCGGCTCTCATCCCTCGCAGCGAGGCTGGTGCGGAAAGCAGCCCTCCCCACGGGTGGCATTGGCAGGTGAGGAATCAATCCTCCCTCCCAGGGGCAGCGCTCAATAATTCAGAGGGAAATGGTGAGTGGGGAAACGTGTGAGTAATGTCTTGTTGGAGCTGAGAGCTGTGACCTGCCAGGGCTGGTATTGATCGAGGGACCCGTGCCAGATGGCTGCTGCTGCACGGACGGCTGAGAAGCAGCCCTTAGCCTAGGGGGCTGGCAGGAGGATGCTGCCTTGTGCTCTGTGTGATGGGGGAATTTGGGAGGTTGGGGGATTTCACCCTGCTTGAGACAATCTCCTGCCTATAGATCCACCTGCCTGGGGCTCTTCTTGTGTAACCTTGTTCTCTTTGCTTTCCTTTCCAGCAGCGATGCCGTCACCTGGGCAGACCTCAACCACTGGAACCCCCCTGAGGACGTAGGTGACCCCCAGGGTGTGGAGGCAGGGAAGAGCCTTGAATCGTGAGGGGCTGTTAACTCTAAGATGTCCTTGAGCAGCGGAGCTTCCGGAGGGAAAGGAATTGATGCGAACCCGGTTGAGACATATGACAGCGGGGATGAGTGGGACATTGGCGTAGGGAATCTCATCATTGACCTGGACGCTGATTTGGAGAAGGATCAGCAGAAATTGGAAATGTCGGGCTCCAAAGAGGTGGGGCTCCCAGCGCCCAACGCGGTGGCAACCCTACCGGATAACATCAAGTTTGTGAGCCCAGTGCCAGGCCCACAGGGCAAGGAAGGCAAATCCAAATCGAAAAGGAGCAAGAGTGGCAAGGACAGTGGCAAGCCAACCCCAGGGACCTCCTTGTTCACTTCCAGCGAGGGAGCTGGTGGCAAGAAGGAGGCTCAAGGACGCTCTGGGGACGGTGCGAACTCGGGCGGCTTGGTGCCTGCCGTCACCCCGAAGGGCTCAGAGAAGTCAGCCAAGGCGTCACGCAGTGCGGCTGGCTCCAAGAAGGAGAAAGAGGGTGGCTCATCCAAAAGCAAGAAGGAAAGGAGTGAGGGTGCAGGGGCTGCAGCAGAGAAGGAGCCCAGCATGCTGCAGCCCCTGGCCCTGGCAGTGAGGGTGGGACAGTATGATGGGGGCCAGGGAACCGAGCCTGCTGCTGCCGAGCAGCTTGGGAGTATAGCTATTGACACAGGAGCAGCGCTTAATCCCTTGGGAGTTAAGTCGGAGCTGGAGGATGGGGAAGGTGACTGCCGGCAGCTGAAAAAGGTGAAGTCTGAGAAGGTAAGAAAAGCGTTGGAGCGTGAGGTGAGGTGGTGGTGTCGCTCGGCTCTGGCAGTCACTCCTGCACCCCTGTGGGTGATGGGGGATTGGGAGCTTACAGCAGGACCTGCTGTCGTTGTACCATGGGGGCAGTGCTGATGCATGGCTGATGCTTTCTGGTTCTAGAGTGAAGGTTGTTTGGCCATGTGATGTGTCAGGGTCTGGAGGCAGTGAGGAGAGGGCACAGGTCAAGCGATGCCTGCCTTCTGGGAACTGTGGTCCAGAAGATTACCCCTGGTCACTGTGTGTCAGGGTACCATCCTGCCATACCCCTGGGGGTTTGGTTTCTCCTGCTCCAGCTCCTGGCAGGACAGGGCATTGTTTGTTGGCCACTGTACTCTGCTTCTCTGTGGCTTCACATTGTGTGTCAAAGCTCCTGAAGGAATTGATTTCTTTCTGGTTGCATCATTTGCAGAGAAGGAGACCTTAATGTGCTAGCAAATGTGGGATCTGTATAGGTTACCACCATGTTCCCTGGTCTGCTGCTGGTATGTGGGCCCTGTCCCACTGGTGAGAGTTAGCACCGGGCCGGCAGGTGGCTGTATGTGGACTTCCCATGTCTCTTCTCCACTAACATGCAGCACCAGTGCTGAACCTGGAAGCTGCTCTTCCAGGTCACCAGCGGTGCAGAAAGCCCTGACAGGGTGATGGCCATCTGTCCACCTGAGTGGTGTTTGGCTCCAGGTTTCTGGAATGCATTAGGAAGAATGTGGCCAGTAGGTTGAGGGAGGTAATTTTCCCCTTCTACTCTGCCCTGGTGAGGCCACATCTGGAACACTGTGCCCAGTTCTGGACTCCCCAGTTCAAGAGTCCAGTGGAGGGTAACAAAGATGATTGGGGAATTGGAGCATCTCTCTTGTCAGGAAAGGTTGAGAGGGCTGGGACCATTTAGCCTGGAGAAGAGAAGGCTGAGGGAAGACCTTATTAATGTCTATAAATATCTAAAGGGCGAATGCAATGAGGATGGAACCAGATTCTACTCAGTAGTGCCCAGGGACAGGACAAGGGGCAATGGGCACAAACTGGAACACAGGAAGTTCCATCTGAACATGAGGAAAAACTTCTTTCCTGTGAGGGTGACAAAGCCCTGGAACAGGCTGCCCAGGGAGATCGTGGAGGGTCCTTCTCTGGAGACATTCAAGAATCACCTGGATGCAGTCCTGTGGAATGTGCTCCAGGAGATCCTACTTTAGCAGGGGAGTTGGACTCAATGATCTCTAGAAATCCCTTCCAACTCTGATAATTCTGGATCTGGCTGTGGGAGCTTGTTTTTTAATGATGGCAGCAAACTTGATTTCTGCAGGTGGGCTGGGGGAGGCTTTGAGCACATCATGTTGTTCTCTCTTGGAGCAGAGGCTCCTCTGCAGCAGCTGCCAGTGCAGTGGTGCAGGTCCCTGGCCATGAAGCCACCTTGGCCGTGGCTGGGCATGACTAGTGGGTTTTGTTGGGTGGCTCTTGCTGTCAGCATGTGGGGAGAGTGGGTTGGAGTGTGTGGGGGGTGTTACCCTACGTGTGGCTTGCAGGTCCCCAGGAGGATTTCTGCCTGGGTGCTGGGAAGGGTTGGGTGGGGAGCTCTCACTGGGTTTGGGAGAGTTGCTGAAACCAGCGAGATGTTGGGGAGATGTTTTTTTTTTCTATCCACCAAAAGATAGAGCAGAGCATGAAAATACAGCGAGAAAGCTGATGGGGGTGGTGGGTCATGAGATGGCTCTAGGAGACGAGCTGCTAAGTAGGTCAGTGCTTCCTCTGCTCAGGAAGAAGACTCCTGGGACAGGCAGCTGAAGGCTGTAAAGTTAAGGAGTGGCGTCGAGATGACATTTGGTTTCCGTGTCCTTTCTGGCAGCAGAACCAGAGTGAATGAAACTGGGCAGAGAAGCAGATGCTCTTTTTGCATGATGGATTTCAGTGTTGCTGCAAAAAGCTGTGGATGCTGAAAGTTCACTGATGTTCTGGAGGAGGAACCTGCCAGGTCATACAGGGCAACGTCATTGCCTTGTTGCCTTGGGAAAAGCTTGAAGAGTGCTGGAGCTTGGGACACTATTTGGGAAGTATCCTGGTGTGCTGGGCTGTTCTGTTCCTTCATAGTCATAAGCTGATGGCTGCTGTCAAAGCGAACATGGGGGCTGGCTGGACTTTTGGTCATACCATGCGTGGCTTTTCCTGCCTTTCTACTATTAGGATTTGTTTCTTTCAATGATTTAGCTGCAGGAACTCTTTGCAGGTCGAAATGCCAGAGTGAGGTCGGGATAATGGAGACCGAACTTCATAGACCTTGACAGGCTTGAGGAGTGAATCCATGTGAACTTCATGAAGTTTAACCAGGCCAACTGCGAGGTTCTGCACCTGAGTTGGGCCAATCCCTGGTATCATCAGTACAGGCTTGAGGATGAAGGGTTTGAGAACAGCCTTTGCAATGGAGAAAAGCTGAGAGAAGTGGGATTGTTCAGCCCGGAGAAGAGAAGGCTCCAGGGAAACCTTATTGTGGCCTTTCAATATATAAAGGGGGCTTTTAAGTAAGATGGAAAGAGACTCATTAGCTGGGCCTGCAGTGACAGGACAAGGGGTGATGGCTTTAAACTGAAAGAGGGGAGGCCAGAAGGAAGAATGGTTTTACGATGAGGGTGGTGAGACACTGGAACAGGTCATTCAGAGATGTGGATGCCCCATGATAGGAAATGTTCAAGGTCAGGTTGGATGGGACTTTGGGCAACCTGATCTAATGGAAGATGTCTCTGCCCTTGGCAGGGGGTTGGACTAGATGATCCTTGAAGGCCCTTTCCAACCCAAACCATTCTGTCATCTCTGTACAGATACCCTGTCAGGACAGTTCTGCCTTTGTCCTTGTCCAGCTTCAGGTGCAACCACATTGATGAAGGCTCAGCCCTGTTTTGAGACATGATTAAAGGTCTGGATCTGCAGGAAAATGTATTGTGTTTGTACTCAGGAGGAAGCATTGTCTGTGTTTCATCAGCCTCATGGGGCAGCTGGATGGCTTCCTTCAGGATGAGCAGAAGAAAGGTGTCTGCAGGATGAGGAGTGGGAAAGAGCCTGAGGATGGGCTTATGGCTGGGGCATGGTGGAAGAAAGAGGGAATTAAATGTTGGTGAGCAGTGCTGTTGGACTCTCTCTCTCTGCTGAAAGCTGTAGAGATGCCCCAAAAGCAGCTTGTGGAGTCTGAAAGACAGGTCAAGAGCTGAGAGCTGTGGCAGAGCAGCTGTTCCAGGGAGTGCATCAGAGGGATGAAGGCAATGGGTTCCTGCAGGCCTGGGGACAAACCCTGCCTAGGAAATGAGAAGCTTGTTCAGACCGAAACAGGAACAGCCACAGCATGACTCAGTCCAACCTTTGGTCTCTAGCAGCTTGTCCTCTGCTTAACCCTGTGCTGCTCCTGCTTCTGTTTTGGGCAGGGAGGCTGGTCTCCATATGGGGGTGAAGAGAGACTGTCTCTCCCTCCAGCCCTTTCAGCCTGGGGTATGTGACCTCCTGTTCATATGTGCCTGCTGAGCAGCCAGCCTCCAGCCAGGAGGTTTTGTTGTATCTCCTTGGCTGGATTAAAGAGCATTTTAGTACTGAGTATTTTTTCCTTGATGAGGTGCTTTGGTGCCACAGTCAGCTCGTTGTTTGCCCCTCCTGCTTTTGTGCTCTTTAAATGTATCACTGTGGGGTTTTGCAGCCTTCAACTTCTTGTTGAGTGTAGGAAAGCTTTTCTTTGCTTTTTTTCAGACACCCTGTCATGTTAGCAGGTGCTTGGCTGGTGTGGTGTCCATGGGTGAGGTCACCCTTGATCCCTTGTCTGAGAGCACCCTTGTTCCCTTGTCTGAGATCACAGTGATGGAGCCAATGGATGTGGCCCATGGGTTTGATAGGATGTGTTTTGCTGATGGCTTCTCTGGCTGCTGCTTCCTGCAGTGAAGCCTCAGGAACCAAACATCCCAAACACCCTTTTTCCAGATGCAGGTCATGGCTGTATCCAGTGTCATGTTGTGGCATGTCCTGTCTTGTTGTGTATCCTTCTCCAACCTGATGCCATCAGGACACAAGTGTTCATTGCACCAGAAATGAGACTGATCATGGAATCACAGGCTGGTTTGTGTTGGAAGGGACCTTAAAGCTCATCTAGTTTCAACACCCCTGCCATTGGCAGGGGCACCTCCCATCAGCCCAGGTTGCTCCAAGCCCCATCCAACCTGCCCTTCAACACTTCCAGGGATGGGGCAGCCACTGCTTCTCTGGGCAGCCTGTGCCAGTATCTCACCACCCTCACACTCAAGAATTTCCTCCTCATGTTTAACTTAACTCTCCCATCTTTCATCTTGAAACCATTCCCCCTTGTCCTCTCACTACCTGCCCTAGTAAAAAGTCCCTTTCCTGATGTAACCTGTGGGAAATAACCCCTCTGAGACCTTCTGGGGTCTCTGGGGTGGGACCAGCACCCAGTGCAGATTTCCCTTGGGCTGTGGTTTGGTGCCTGGGCAACTTCTCACACCAGCCGCTGCTGCTGGAGACCCAGAAGATACTGGGAGGGAAGGCGGGCAGGAAGGAAGGGGAGCTTAATACTACTTGCAGCAAGGAGAGAAATGAGCCTGCCCTGCTGCATGCACTGGAGCCTGTGGCCCAGCAACTGGGTCTTGGCCACAGGTCACTGGGGCTGGCCAGAGCTGAGCTGGGGTTTGGTTTGGGACACACACGGGTGCTGGGCAGGCATCTGCTGCTCTGGGCACATGGCTTTTCTCAGCAAAATGGCCGTACGGGAGCAGCAGCTGGCGGGGCTGGGGCAGCAGCTTCTCTCCTCCT